AAGAGAGGCAACAGTTGGATAACGATCTGGCTAGGAGGATGAATAGCTGTTAATGGGGACTGTTAGTGACTAACAACAGGCTGTGTGTAATAGCAGATTATGTGATAACAAGGCCTGTGTAATAGCAGATTATGTGATAACAAGGCCTGCTGTGTGGGGTCTGGGGTAAGAACATGGTCAAACTTCAGCCTAAAAGTAGTTGAACTCGATATCGAGTCCAGGAGGCTGCTGGGTTCCCAAGTGGAAAATGCGGTACTGTTTTTCCAGCTTGCGCTGAGCTTCGCTGGAGCACTGCAGCAAGCCGGAGACAGAGATGCTGGCTGGGGAACACAGCGGTGTGTTGAAGCGGCAGGCAACTGGAAGCTCAGGGTTTTTCTTGCGGACAGAACGTAGGTGTTCTGCGAAGTGGTCACCCAGCCTACACCTCATTTCTCCAACATAGAGGAGACCACATTGTGAGCAGTGAATGCAGTGGATCAAATTGTCATAAACCCCCACTTCCTGCCAACATCTACCTCTCCATCAACATCACTGAAAACACATCATCTGCAAAGTTTGTGGGAGCTTGTTGTGTAAAGATTGGTTGCCATTACATTACAGCATTGACCATACTTCAAGAAATGCTTCATTGACGGCCAGTAGTTGCCAAGGGTGCTATCCAATTGCAATTCAGTTGTGGGCAAACTCCTGCAGAATGATGTGAAAGGGAATGACAGCCAGGGCCAGAAGCTAAATCTGATCTGCAGAATCAAAACTGCTAGCTGTGGGCAGTTATTTCCTGGTTGGTGTGCGTGTGTTTGATTCTGAAATTGAAAGTAAAAGTCCAAAAGTAAGAAACTTCGCCATTTCTGCGCCGGTCTCGCTTTAAGGATGAGCCGCGGCTCCAGCGCTGGCTTTGATCGTCACATCACCATCTTTTCCCCCGAGGGGAGACTCTACCAAGTCGGTCAGTAGTTTGCAACTTCTGTCCTCCCTCTTTATAGCTTTGCATTCAGGTACCTGCAGCTCTTCCAGCTTCTTCGCTGCACCCAGGTCTACCAATAAAGCCATCCCTGAGATTGACAGCCAGGCTATCCAATGGCGAGGCAGACCCACATGTCAATCACTGCCCATTCGCCAATCGGCGCAAGGATGAGGGGCGGAATGTACACTTGATTGACACTTGCTTTCATTTTTGCCTTCAGTGCACACTTCAGATTTTCAAGCTTTATCTCGAAGTAAATCCCTTAAAATACTTAAAAGTTTTCTTTTGCAGCAGAGGCTCATTTTACTGGCTGAGTTAATCCTATCAATTTTTTTTAACCCTTTCAAACTATCTACAGAGTTCTTAGCTTGAATAAACATGTTGCTAAACACTGAACCGAAAGAAGGAGCAGGGGTTGCTGGAGACCTAAGCATTTATGTCATTCTGCACATACTTTTCATTGAGTAAAGTTGGAATTTTTTATGTTCTGCCAAGATTATTCTGCAGTTCCTCAGTTATTAATTTCTGATTATTTAGTTCCCTTAAAACGTAAGAATTTCCCGAAGGTGTCTAACCTAGCATGACTCAATTCGGATTACAATCCCACCCTCCTTCCTCATTGTTAATGACTAACAAAAGAACAGTTGCCATAGTCCCAGAAGGCCACTCTCTCAGAGTATAGGTGGAGAGTTTAACCTGAGGATCACCATATCCTGGAGGGAGGGGGTATGGAGGAAGAGGTTGAGGAGAATTTTTGATAGTAACCTCAGCCTGTACAGGAATTGAGCTGTTATAGAGTCGTATAGCATAGCATGGCTTACAGGCCCTACAGCCCAACTCGTCCATGCTGACCTGTTACGACTGTGCAAGACATTGGTGAGGCCACATTTGGAGTACTGCACACAATTCTGGTGGCCCTGCTATAGGAAGGACATTATTAAACTGGACAGGGTGCAAAAAAGATTGAAAAGGATGTTACAGAGACTGGAGGGTTTGAGTTAAAAGGAGATGCTGGGAGTATTTTTCCCTGGAGTTTAGGAAGCTGAGGGGTGACCTTATAGAGGTTTATAAAATCATGAGAGGCATTGATAAGGTGAATAGTGAAGGTCTCTTCTCCAGGGTAGGGGAGTCCAAAACTAGAGGGCATAGGTTTAAGGTGAGACTGGAAAGATTTAAAAGGGACCTGAGGGGCAATATTTTCACACAGAGGGTGGTGCATGTATGGACTGAGTTGCCAGAGGAAGTGGTGGAGGCTGGTACAATTACACCATTTAAAAGACATTTGGACAGGTGCATGAATAGGAAAGATTTAGAAGGATATGGGCCAAACACAGACAAATAGGACTAGGTTAGTTTGAGAAAACTGGTCATATCACTTTGCATCACAAACCAGCCTCCCGCCAACTGAACTAACTAAACCCCATGCACTAGACCACTACAATGTTGTTACATCAAAGGTTCCAAATCCTTCCCAGGATTTGTCACAGATTCACACAATTTTGGTTATTGCCAGAACACCATTTTAACTTTAAAATCAAGCAAAGATCTGCTGCTGTTGGAAATCTGAAGCAAAAACAGAAATTGCTGGAGGGACTCAGCAGGTGTGGTAACAACTGTGGAGAGAAAACACAGGTAATGTTAACTTCAGAAGAAGGGTCACTGGACCTGAAATGATAACTCTCCACAAATGCTGTTAGACCTGCTGAGTTTTCCCAGCAACATTTGTTTTTGTTTCAGATTTCCAGCATTCACAGTTCTTTATCAGAGATAGTAGGAACTGCAGATGCTGGAGAATCCGAGACAACAAGGTGCAGGGCTGGATGAACACAGCAGGCCAAGCAGCATCATAGGAGCAGAGAGGCTGACGTTTCGGGCCTAGACCCTTCATCAGAAAAGGTTCTTTATTTCTGTTTTCACCCTTCTTCAGAACCATTGTTACTTCCCTTTAATGCCCATGATTCCAATAAAGTGGTTTTGATTTGGGATTTTCACTATCCCTACCTGATGCCAGCAGCTCCGAGCAATCAATGCTCCAGTATTTCAGGGCGAGTTCCTGTTCATTTCCAGTCGTCTTGGCTGTCACTTGCCTCAATAAAGACTGCATACGCTTCTAAAACCTAACCACTGTCTTCCATCACTTATCCTCTAGATAAGCAATCTTGGATACGAGGTAGGATACATTAAAAGATATTCTTTCTCGTGTGTTTTTCATTAACTTTGTGCTTGCATTCTGTACTTGTTTGACTTTGGAGGCATGTGACCCAAACATTTACATGGGTTTCTTTGGGAAGGTGTGCATTGAATAATGCAATTTCACTTAACTCTGCAATTCTCAGGAACTAGAATTACAATTAGGTTTTATCATCACCTGTACCCAAATACAGAAGTACATGACTACAATGAAAAGTGTGCAATGTTGCCACACAGTGCGCCATCTTAGGTACAAAGTACCTAGTTACAAATCTTAGGTACTAAAATAGATTAGGTACAAAAACAGAATCATAGTGCAACGAATATGAAATGCACAAAGAGAAATTAAAGGGAATACAGGTAAGAATATTATAGAGTCACAGTGATGTACAGCACAGAACCAGACCCTTTGGTCCAACTCATCCATGCCGACCAGATATCCTAAATTAATCTAGTCCCATTTGAAAAAAGTGAAAAGTTCTACAGTGTTCATTACTGTGTTAATTGATGATAGTGTGTTAAGTTGTACTCAGAAAGTGTAGTCAGGCTTTTGCTCACTTCATATTACCATTGAAACCCGGATTCAAACAATCCAGAGGAGTTTGAGAAAGTATCATGAAACTTGACACTGTAGTAATGCTGGATTTAGACATGAACTAAGTAAGCTACAGTTTAGGGCCTCACACTAGGAACATCCTCTAAAAATGCAAATCAAAGCTAAATTTTGGGTTTTACATAACCAGTGGATAAATAAAACAGACAGAGGAAAAAGACTGAAAACAGACATTTTCCTTCTGTTATTATGAAAAATCTTTTTGATTTCACAATTCTAATATAAAACAGCCCTGATTTAGGATATCAGACATAATCAGAAAACTTTGATCGACTCAATTCAAGAATTGCAGTACTCAGACTCCCAGGCTCCTGTGTTTCAAGCTGATGAAATGCAGCCAATACAATAGCACATCCGTAATTCCGCTTCAAGAATACAATTTGTCCTGGCAGATGTGGTTTTTTGACCTTGGCTTGAGCTTTGAATCATATATTAGTGCCGTCACTAACACTTCCAATTCCCACCTCCATAACATCCTACCAATCTGCCCTGCTTTAGCCCCTCAGCTGTTGAATCCCATATCCTTGCCTTTGTTAGCTCTACATTTGACTCCTGCCAAATTCTGCTGCCCCTGTTTTAAGGCTAAACAAATTCCATTCAGCCGTCACCCCTGGTGCTTGCTCCAACTGCTTTGGGTCTCAGAGAAGCGATGCATCCATTTTAAAATTCTCTGTCATCCTTGTTTTCCCATCCCTCCATCGCCTCACCCCTCCCCAGCTGCATGACCTTCTCCCGCAAACTGGCCCCATTTTAGTTTGTCCACCAGCCATTGTGGTTTTTCTGGCGTCTGATTAGGTCAATCAGGAAGACCAGAGGAATCCTACAATGTGGCGTGGGCTGGCGAAGCCCAGGGTAGGACTGTAGCAGCGGAGAAGGGAAAGTTGGACTATTTTCAAGTTATCCTTCTTTGTTTGTAATTTTATTTAAAGTTGATGAGAATGTCGCCTTTGAATGGCGATGGTACACACTTTTCACTGTGTTTTATATTGAATACACGTGACAATAAATGATGCAATTCACCTTTCACTGGTTCAGGTTGAGGTTTCGTTTGAAGAAAATATTCAGGGATAAAGCCCTCTAAAAACTGGGCTGCCAGGGTTTGTACTGCCATATGAGGCACTATTTATAGATGACTGCTGTGCAGGATTCTCCATTCCTTTCGGGAGTAATCCCTGACTTCTGTTACTGTTGGACAGGTTCTGCAATGGCTAATCTGCTCCTTTGCTCTTTCAGAGTATGCATTCAAAGCTATAAACCAGGGTGGCCTTACAACAGTGGCCGTGAGGGGGAAGGATTCGGTCGTTGCCGTGACCCAGAAGAAAGTGGCAGTGAGTACAGTCACCTTTTGGGCTTTGCTGCCTTTCACCCCGACGTTCCTGACTCTTGCTCGAGTCCAGTTCCAGGCGCACAACGAGACACGTTTGTACATCACCCAAGTGCTTCACTAGGGCCGCGGTTGGGCCAAAAACAAACTAGTGTGTCATTACAAGGTGTGGAGCTGGATGAAGACAGCATGCCAGGCAGCATTAGAGGAGCAGGAAAGCTGACGTTTCGGGTCGGGACCCTTCTTCAGAAACGTCAGCTTTCCTGCTCCTCTGATGCTGCCCAGCCTGCTGTGTTCCTCCAGCTCCACACCTTGTTATCTCAGACTCCAGCATCGGCAGTTCTTACTATCTCTAAACAAGTGTGTCAGCCGATTATCAAGTGTGGGTGACCAAGACCTTGCTCCGATTGTGCTTTTTAAGGGGGGGATCTTTAAATGAGGATTTAGGGAGGGGATATCAGAATGTCTGCACCTCTGGGGGCAGACTTGAGCATTTAATGGGGAGGCGATGGCCTAGTAGTATTATCGCTGGACTGTTAATCCAGAGACCCAAATAATGTTCTGGGGACCTGGGTTTGAATCCCGCCAGGGCAGATGGTGGAATTTGAATTCAATAAATATCTGGAATTAAGAGTCTAATGATGACCGTGAATCCATTGTCAATTGTCGTAAAAACGCATCTGGTTCACTAATGCCCTTTAGGGAAGGAAACTACCATCCTTACCTGGTCTGGCCTACATGTGACTCCAGACCCACAGCAATGTGGCTGACTCTTAACTGCCCTCTGGGGGCAATTAGGGATGGGCAATAGATGCTGCCTGGCCAGCGACTCCCTCATCCCATGAATGAATAAAGAAAAAATTGGTATTTGAAGGGGAGTGGAGAGGATCGATGTGTGGTAGGTGTTGGGAGATTAATGTAGGATGAGGAGGTTGCAGAAATTTGGAGAGGGAAGGGATTTAAATGCAAGAAATTAGGAGCACCAATGTAATACGTATCCTTACGGTCATTTGTCATTGTTAAAACTTGATGATAATCAACTCACTTACTGTTATTCGGTGCTTGCTGTTCGCAAATTAGCTGCTGAGTTTTCTTACATTACAACAGTGACTGCATTCAAATGAACCAATTGGTTAAGGACCACATCCAGGAGACCCAAGGATGTGAAAGGTGCTGCTTATTGCTCTTGCTGCCAACATTACACTGGGTCACAAGCCTTACTTTGTTTTAGGTGCAACTTGTCCCTTTTTAAAAATTAGCAACTTTCCCTACTTAACATTTACCACTTGTTAAGATCAATATCTCTCATTCAGTTTTGCTATGTCAACCATCACGGTGTAGCTGCAAGGTTGATCCACCAAGTGGCATTCTGGACCAACTGTCTCCCAACAACCGGAACTGTAGATTAATTGGCTGATTGTGAACGTGTGGGTGTCTATAGGTGTGGGGCTGGAAAAGCACAGCAGGTCAGACAGCATCACAGGAGCAGGAAAGTCAGGCTAAAACGCTGAGAAAGTTTCAAATATCATCTTATTTTTAAAAACCGAAAGATCTGCAGATGCTATAACTCAGGAACAAAAACAAAAGTTGCTGGAAGCTCAGTAGGTCCGAAGGAAAAATCAGAGTTAACGTTTCGGTTCCAGTGACCCTTCCTGAGAACAGTGTGATATTGTTCGCCTCAATTTCTCTGCCCCTGCCCCCCCTCACCCAATCCAACCCATTTCCCTCCGAACTGACTGCACTCCGTGCACTTAGATCTAATCTTGACTTTGTTATTAAGCCTGCCGATAAGGATGGTGCTGTTGCAGTCTGGCATACTGACCCCTACATTGCAGAGGCTGAGCGCCAGCTTTCAGATACCTCCTCCTGTCCTCCCTTGGACCATGACCCCACCATGACACATCAGGCCATTGTATCTACTACGGTAACTGATCTCATTTCATCTGGTGACCTCCCCCCAACTGCTTCCAAGCTCATAGTCCCCCAACCCCGCACAGCTCGATTCTACCTCCTTCAAAAATCCACAAACAGGACTGTCTGGGCAGACCATTGTTTCAGCCTGCTCCTGCTCCACAGAACTCATCTCTTTCTACCTTGACTCAGTCTTCTCTCCCCGGTCCAGTCCCTGTCTACGTACATCCGTGATTCCTCTGACGCCTTACGCCGGTTTCAAAACTTCCAGTTTGCAGGTTCCAGCTGCCTCCTCTTTACCATGGACGTGCAATCCCTTTACACGTCCATTCCCCACCAGGAGGGTCCTAGGGCTCTCTGTTTGTTCCTGGAGCAAAGGCCTGAACCATCCCCACCCACCACCACCCTCCTCCGCTTGGCCAATTCTGAGGACCCGAAACGTTAACTCTGATTTTTTCTTCACACATGCTGCCAGACCTGCTGAGCTTCTAGCAACTTCTATTTTTGTACCACCTTATTTTTAATGGCTATTAATTTACTGTAACAAACATGATATGTGCAAAGAGAAATTAGAGAGAATGCAGGTGAGAGTATTACATGTTTTCCTTTGGAATGATAGAGGAGAGATATCCTCATGGGCAGACTGTGTGAATCTGGTATTGTCATTTCTGGAACATAAATAGAAAATAGCAGGTTTTGTGGCACAGCATGTAATGTACCTGCCTCCAAGCCAGAAGCTCCAAATTCCAAGTCCCACGACTTGAATAAAAGCAAAATGCTGTGGATACTGGAAATCTGAAACAAACACAGGTCATTGGTTAGACCACTTTTGGAATACTGATCTCCCTGCTATAGGAAGGATGTTGTGAAACTTGAAAGGGTTCAGGTTGGAGGGTCTGAGCTATAGGGAGAGGCTGAATAGGCTGAGGCTATTTTCCCTGGAGCATCAGAGGCTGAGGTCATGAGGGGCATGGATAATGTGAATAGTCAAGGTCTTTTCCCCAGGGTAGTGGAATCCAAAACTAGAGGGCATAGGTTTAAGGTGAGAGATTTAAAAGGGACCTAAGGGACAACATTTTCTCGCAGAGGGTGGTGCATGTATGGAATGAGCTGCTGGAGGAAGTGGTGGAAGCTGGTGCAGTTGCAACATAAAGACATTTAGACAGGTACATGAATAGGAAAGGTTTAGAGGGATATGGGCCATACGGGATGAGGTTAATTTAGGATATCTGGTCAGCATGGACGAATTGGACTGAAGGATCTGTTTCAATGCTGTTTCAGCTCTATGACTGGCAGAATCTGTGGAGAGGGAAACATTTTGAATCCGGTCTGACCCTTCTTCAGAAGAGTTCTGTCTGTGGGTTGGATTGATGGCATTGCTACAGACTTCAATCCCCGTTCTGGTTGGAGTGGACTGACAACTTAGAATCCCTACAGTGTGGAAGTAAGCCTTTCAGCCCATCAAGTCCACACCGACCCTCTGAAGAATATCCCACCCAAACCCACCTTATTCTTGTAACCCTACATTTCACATGGTTAATCCACCTAGCCTACACCTCCCTGAACACTATGGACAATCCACCTAACCTGCACCTCTTTGTACTGTGCGAGGAAACCACAGCCCCCAGAGGAAAGCCACACAGACACAGGGAGAACATGCAAACTCTACACAGCCACCCGAGGGTGGAATCAAACCCAGGTCCCTGGTGCCGTGAGGCAGCAGTGCCGTCACTTGTCTCCATATCCTACCCTTGGTGGAGCTGAGTGGATCAGACCCGCTTTTGTGCAGAGATCTCCAGACAAAGGAGTAGAAAATGCAATAGTGCAATCAGCAGGACTGGTACCATCCAAAGGGAGAGTGACACAGTTAATGTTTCGGAGTGACGAGATGAACAACCATGACTGGAAACTTAGTTCTGTTTCTCTCTCTACAGGTGCAGCCAGGCCTGCTGAATATTTACAAAATATTCAGCTTATATCTCAGATTTCCAGCACCTGCAGTATTTAATTTTCTTTACGTTGTTGGTGTTTTTCAGGACAAGCTCATCGATGCCAGTACAGTCACAAATCTTTATCATTTGACTGACAAGATTGGTTGTGTCATGACTGGAATGCTCGGTAAGCCATTTTTATTCCTTGTTAACATTCACGTTCCTTTAATTCAAAATTAACTCACTCTGGTTCACTAATGTCCTTTACAGAAGGAAACTGTGGTCTGGCCTACATGTGACTCCAGACCCACAGCATTGTGGGTGACTCTTAAGTGCCCTCTGGGCAATTAGGGATGGGCAATAAATGCTGGCCTAACCAGAGAGGCCCACATCCCACGAATGAATAAAAAAGTGTTAAGGGATTTAGGGATAATGTGGTAAATGGGGTTGAGGTTTTATTTAATGGCGGGGCTCAGGGGGACTGAATGGCCTACTCCTGTTGCCCATGTTCTTATGTTTCTCAATGTACCATTTTCTTCGTTCCCACCCCCCTGCCCCTCTGCTGATGTAACCAGCGGATTGCCGCTCCCAGGTTCAGAGAGCACGCTATGAAGCCACGAAGTGGAAATACAAGTACGGCTATGACATCCCAATGGACATGTTGTGCAAGCGAATGGCTAGCATCTGCCAGGTTTATACTCAGAACGCGGAAATGAGACCTTTGGGATGTTGTAAGTACAAAACATTTCCCTCTCCCCGTCAGCCATTAGGGTCTGGAGACAGCTCCCTGAAAGAGCAGCAGAAACACATTCAAAGATGCTCTCCAAGTGGAAATGGACTAGGAACCAGGCTGAGAAATAAAAGGGATCCAAAAAGGGATGGGCTGTAGGACTGACTGGATTGACCTTTGAAAGAGCCAGTGTAGGGTTGATGGCCAGAATGGCCTTGTTGAGATCTAAGGGTCATTGAAATCACGTTTTGTAAAGCTGAGGTTACCTCAGAGTGCAACAGGACTTTGATCAGAAGGGCCAATGAGCCGGGGAGTGGCAGATGGATTTTAATTTAGATAAATGTGAGGTGCTGCCCTTTGGAAAGACAAATCAGAACACGACTTATACACTTAATTTTAAGATCCTGGGGAATGTTGACAAACAAAAAGACCTTGGGGTACAGGTTCGTAGTTCCTTGAAAGTGGACATGCAGGTAGACAGGATAGTGAAGAAATTTCTGAAGAAGGGTCTAGGCCCGAAACGTTAGCTTTCCTGCTCCTCTGATGCTGCTTGACCTGCTGTGTTCATCCAGCTTTACACCTTGTTATCTCTAGTGAAGAACATATTTGATATGAATGCCTTTATTGGTCAGTGCATTGAGTATAGGTGTTGGGAGGTCATGTTGCGGCTGTACAGGACATTGGTTAGGCCACTTTTGCAATATTCAATTTATTTTAGGTCTCCCAGCTATCAGAAGGATACTGTGAAACTTGAAAGGGTTCAGGGAAGATTTACAAGGATCTTGCCAGGGTTGGAGGGTTTGAGCTACAGTGAGGGGCTGAATAGGCTGATGCTATTTTCCCTGGAGCATCAGAGGCTGAGGGGTGACCTTATAGAGGTTTATAAAATCATGAGGGGCATGGATGGGGTGAATAGACAAGATCTTTTCCCCAGGGTGGGGGAGTCCAAAACTAGAGGGCATAGGTTTAAAGTGAGAGGGGAAAGATTTAAAAGGGACCTAAGGGGCAACTTTTTCATGCAGAGGGTGGTGCGTGTACGGAAGAAGCTGCCAGAGGAAGTGGTGAAGGCTGGTACAATTACAACATTTAAAAGGCATCTGGATGGGTATATGAATGGGAAGGGTTTAGAGGGATATGGGCCAAATGTTGGCAAATGAGACTAGATTAATTTAGGATATCTGGTTGGCATGGACAAGTTGGACCAAAGGGGCTGTTCCGTGCTGTACATCCCTATGACTCTATCTATGATTCTATGTTCTGTTTCCTATAATGAGCAGAAGGAGACCCTTCAGCTCCTCAAACCTGTTGCTCATTTTCCATTAGATTGTGCCTCAGTTACCTAACCCCATATTCACGTTTTGGTTCTACAATCTTAAGATCCAGACTTGGGCTGACAAGTGACAAGTAACATTCACACCACACAAATGCCAGGCAGTGACCAATATCCCCAATCTAACCACTGACATTCAATGGCGTTACCATCACTGAATCTGCCAGCATCAACATCTTGGGGGTTACCATTGACCAGAAACTCAACTGGACTCACCACATAAACACAGCGGCTACAAGAGCAGGTCAGACACTAGGAATACTGCAGCATGTAACTCACCTCCTGACTCCTGAAAGCCTATCCACCATCAACAAGGCACAAGTCAGGAGGGTGATGGAATACTCCCCACTTGCCCTGGGTAAGGGTGTGGGTTTACCTACAACACACGGACTGCAGCAGTTCAGGAAGGCAGCTCACCCCCACCTTCTCAAGGGACAACTAGGGATGGGCAATAAATGCTCGGCCCAGCCAGTGACACCCATGTCCCAGAGAGAATTGAAAAAACAATCTTTCGCACCTTCTTTAGACAACACAGTTTTGGCCTGCTGTAAGAAGCAGGAAATTAGTTCTCCAGAATTTTTTTCTGAAATCGTCAAACCTGATGAGCGAGTTCAAGGTCTGTATTGTGGAGAGCCACCAAGACGAAGGAAGGAAAATTAAGAAAGACTAATTTGCATTCATGTCACACATTTTATGACCTTCGAATCTCCTCAAGTGCTTTAATTTCAAGACACTTCTGGGACATCCTCCCTCATATCTGCATTCCTTTACCACTAATGCAATGCCCCACCTATCTTACTCTCTCCTCACCCTGCATCACTCCTTAAATTTCTAATTCTGTCAATGTTGAGCTGCCAGTTCTGTCCTTCCTTCAGCCATGTCTCTGCGATTACAACAATATTTCCAACTGCTGATCGATGCTCTAAGTTCTTCCACCTCACCAGTCAAGCTCCTTGGATTAAAATAGATACTGTTTAGCTTTCTAGATGACCCATGAGCATTATCCTTCCCCTTTCTTCTCTGCGTGCTGGACTGTCCCAGTAAGTGGTGGCTCAGTGGTTAGCGCTGCTACCTTAAAGCACTAGGGACCCGGGTTTGATTCCACCCTCGGGCGACTGTCTGTGTGGAGTTTGCACATTCTCCCCGTGTCTGCATGGGTTCCTCCAGGTGCTCCGGTTTCCTCCCACAGTCCAAAGATGTGCACACTAGGTGGATTGGCCATGCTAAATTGACCCATATTGTCCAGGGACATGCTGGCTGGGTGGATTAGCCATGGGAAATGCAGGGTTACAGGGATAGGATAGGGTAGGGTAGCAGAGTGGGTCTGGATGGGATTTTCTTCAGAGGGTCAATATGGGCTGAATAGCCTGCTTCCATGCTGTAGGGATCCTATGATTCACTCTACATAAAACAAACAAGGGCAGGCTTACACAGTTAATGGTAGAGCCCTGGGTAGTTCTCTCGAACAGAGAGACTTATGTGTTCACATACATGCTTCTTTAAAATTTGCGACACAGTTAGACAGGGTGGTTAAGAAGGCATTTAGCACACTTTGCTCAGACCATTGAGTAGAGGGGTTGAGACATCATATCGAGGTTGTGCAGGATGTTGGTGAGGCCACTTCTGGAATACTGTATATAGTTCTGGTCACCCTGCTATGGGAAGGATATTATTAAATTGGAGAGGGTTCAGAAAAAAAATTACAAGCATGTTGCCAGGAATAGAGAGTTTGAGTTATGAGAGGCTGGGTAGGCTGGGACTTTTTTCACTCGAGTGTAGGAGGTTGAGGGGGTGACCTTATAGAGGTTTATAAAATCATGTGGGGCATGGATAGGGTGAATAGCAAAGGTCTTTTCCCCAGGGTAGGGGAGTTCAAAGCTAAGGAGCATAATTTTAAAGTGACAGGAGAAAGATTTAAAAGGGTCATGAGGGGCAATGTTTTCATACAGAGGGTAGATCATATCTGGAATGAACTGCCAGAGGAAGTGGTAGATGCAGGTACAGTTACAACATTTAAAAGACATTCTGACGGGTACACAAATAGGAAAGGTTTAGAGGGATATGGGCCAAACACAGGCAAGTGGGACTAGTTTAGTTTGGGAAAGCTGTTGGCATGGATGAGTTGGACCAAAGTATCTGTTTCTGTGCTGTATGACTCTATGATCGTTGTGAGATAGGGAAATTCAGTAGACCCAAGATTGGAAAGCCAAGGGTATAAATAGAAACACAGAAAATAGGAGTAGGCCATTCAGCCCTTTGAGCCTGCTCCGCCATTCCAAATGATCATGGCTGACCATCCAACTGTTCCCACTTTCTCCCCATACCCTTTGATCACTTTAGCCCAAAGAACTGTATCTATTTTTCTATTTCTGTAACTAAGATTTTCTACCTAAGATGGCGCTATGTGTGGCAACATTGAACATTTTTCACTGTACTCTTGTACCCCTGTACTTGAGTACATGTGACAATAAAATGTAAATTTAAATCTAAAGCTAACTTCTTCTTGAAAAAAATTCAATATTTTGGCCTCAACTGCTTTCTGTGCTGGAGAATTCCACAGGCTCCCAAACTCTGGGTGAAGACATTTCTTCTCATCTCAGTCCTAAATGGCCTATTCTGTATTCTTAAAAGAAGAACTTGTTTCTGAACATTTTTACAGGTAGAAGCCTGTGTTTTTACAGTGACAGAGTCACTTCTACAACATCTAGGGCTGATGGCCCTCCAGTATCATCTCACACTGAGATAGGCCATTCAGCCCAACTCTGTGCTGGTGTCTCTAGCCCACTTAAGCTCCTTTCATTCGATCTAACTCACCTCATCTCAGACTTTCAGCATCTTTACATCTCATTTTCTCTTATGTACTCATCGAGTTTCTTTTGAAAGCAGTTGACCCTATTGTCTCACTTCCTGTAGTAGTCAACTCCATGTTGGAATTACTGTCTGAGGAGAAAAAACTCTATCGCTCTCATTAATAACAATGATGACAGAGAGAAGGCTATTTCACCAACTGTAATCTTTATCCAATTCAATAACGAAGAGTCTCTTTGCTGTCTAATCTGGGAAAATGGTGGGGTTCTTTTTATTCATTCACAAGATTAGGCTGTCATTGGCTAGGTCAGCATTTATTGACCATCTCTAATTGCTAAGAGGACAGTTAAGAGTCAACCACATCACTGTGGGTCTGGAGTCACATGGAGGCCAAACCAGATAAGGATGGCAGTTTCCTTCCATAAAAGAGATTAGTAAACCAGATGGGTTTTTCCTGACAATAGATTCATAGTCATCATTAGACCCTTAATTCCAGATTTCTGATGAATTCAAACTCCTCCATCTGCCTCATAGCGGATTCAAACCTGGGTCCTCAGAACATTACCTGGGTCCTTGGGTTACCAGCCCAGCGATAATACCACTAGGCCATCATGCAGTGGTATAGTCACTAGGCCAGTCATCTAATGGTGAAATGTGAATTCAATAAAAAGTTAACCCAATGGCAACCACTTCTGATTGTGGTTAAAATCCCATCTGGTTCTTTAATGTCCTTTAGGTACAGATATCTGCCACCCTTACCCTATCTGACCTACATGTAATAGTGGAGGTAAAGTTGATGTAGTCCAGAGCACTGCGCTCTCATTAGAGAGAGATGTCTAGTGGTGAATTTAAATCATAGAATTCCTACAGTGTGGAAGCAGGCCATTTGGCCCATTGAGTCCACACTGACCCTCTGATGAGCATCCCAACGAGACTCAACCCCCTACCCTTTCCCTGTAAACCACATTTCCCCTGGCTAACCCACCTAGCCTGCACATCCCTGGACACAATGGGCAACTTAGCATGGCCAATCCGCCTAATTTGCACATCTTTGGACTATGGAAAACAGAGCACCCAGAGGAAACCTACGCAGATATGGAGAGAATGTGCAAACTCCACACAGAGAATTGCACAAGGGTGGGATTGAACTGAGGTCCCTGGTGCTAAGAGGCAGTAGTGCTAACCACTGAGCCACCATGCCACCCAACTGAGGGTCACCACACCTCAGGCAGGAGGTGAGGGTTGAGTCCTTCATGGTAACCTCAGCCAATGTAGGTATCGAACCCGTGTGTTGGTGTCACTCTGCATTGCAAGACAGCCATGTGGCCAATTAAAGTAGTGTATCAGCAATTAAGGATGGGCAATAAATGCCGGCCTTGCCAGCAATACACATATAAATATTCATTTTTTTTAAAAGATTGACCATAAGGAGCCAACAGCACCAACAGAAGGAGACCAAGGGTTGGAGTATGGGCGTCGGGTATGTCATAGAAACGTTGAAAATGGGAGCAGGAGGAGGCCATTTGGCCCTTCGAGCCTGCGCTACCATTCATCATGATCACGGCTGATCACCTAACTCAATAGCCTAATCCTGCTTTCTCCCCATAACTTTGATCCCATTTTCCCCAAGTGTTATATCTAGTTGCCTCTTGAATATATTCAATGCTTTGGCATCAACTACTTCCTGTGGTAATGAATTCCGCAGGCTCACCACTCTTTGGGTGAAGAAATGTCTCCTCATCTCTGTCCTAAATGATCCACCCCGAACCCTCAGACTGTGACCCCTGGTTCTGGACACAGCCACCATCGGGAACATCCTCCCTGCATCTTCCCTGTCCAGTCCTGTTAGAATTTTATAAGCCTCTGTGAGATCCCCCCCTCATTCGTCTGAACTCCAGCGAAAACAATCCTAACCTAGTCAATGATAGTAGGAACTGCAGATGCTGGAGAATCTGAGATAACAAGGTGTAGAGTTGGATGAACACAGCAGGCCAAAGGAGGGTCTAGGCCCAAAACGTCAGCTTTCCTGCTCCTCTCATGCTGCTTGGCCTGCTGTGTTCATCCAGCTCTACACCTTGTTATCTAACCTAGTCAATCTCTGAGTTGTGTGATGCTACCTCCAGGGATAATGCCAGAGAGAGAGTTGGCAACTCTACTGGTATAGCAAAGTCAAAACTGTGTGCCAGAATGTGTCAAACCTGCCTCACCCCAGCTCTTTATTCTCCAGGTATGATCATGTTAGCGATTGATGATGAGAGAGGACCCCAGCTTTACAAGTCTGATCCTGCTGGTTACTACTGTGGCTACAAGGCTACCAGTGCTGGAGTCAAACAGATAGAAGCCAGCAGCCACTTGGAGAAGAAGATTAAAAAGAAGCCAGATCTGACCTACAAGGCCACTGTAGAGGTAAATGGAAATTTCCTGGGCTGGCTTATGATGTTTCTTTAAATTCCTGCTAGCGCCAGGGACCTGGGTTTGATTCCACCCTCGGGCGACTGTCTGTGTGGAGTTTGCACATTCTCCCCATGTCTGCGTGGGTTTCCTCCGGGTGCTCTGGTTTCCTCCCACGTCTAAAGATGTGCAGGTTAGGGTGGATTGGCCGTGCTAAATTGCCCCATAGTGTCCAGGGATGTTTAGGTTAGGTGGGTTAGACGTGGGAAATGCAGGGGTAGAGGAATGGGTCTGCGTGGGATGCTGTTAGGAGGGGCAGTGTGGACTAGTTGGGCCGAATGGCCTGTTTCCACACTGTAGGGATTCTGTGATAGGTCGTGGGCATCGTTGTCAAAGCTGGCGTTTATTGCTCATCCCTAATTGCCCCTCGAGGTGCCAGTGAAACACATGAGGGAACTGAACTTTCCTCATGTCTGAAATGAGAACAGGAGAAGGCCATTTAGCCCAACAAGCCTATCCCTGATTCCCAACTGATCTCAATAGACAGTAGATGGGCTATTTGCCCGTTCACAACTAAATCGCAATATATTACTCCTCATTGCTTTATTAATTTATGCGATGTGGACATCATGGGCTGGACCAACTTTTACCGCCAATCCCTAATTTCCCTTGAGAAGATGTGAGCTGTCTTCTCGAACAGCTGCAGCCCATGGCGTTACCCACAATGCCGTTAGGGAGGCAGTTCCAGGATTTTGACCCAGCGACAGTGAAGGAATGGCCAGTAATTTTTTTATATCTAAGTATTTGTACTCAAGAATCTTTACCTACGTATCTCTGTACCTGAGATGGCGCCGTAAGTAGCGACTTGTAAACTTTTCACTGAACTCATGTGTGTACACATGACAATAAAGTTAATTCAATTCAATATTTGGAAATAAATTTAAGGACAGTTTTTTTATTTATTCATGGAATATGGCTGTTGCTGGCTAGGCCAGCATTTATTGCCCATCCCTAATTGCCCAGAGGGCAGTTAAGAATCAATTACATTGCTGTGGGTCTGGAGTCACATGTAGGCCCAGACCAGGGTAAGGATGGCAGTTTCCTTCCCTAAAGGACATTAGTGAACCAGTGAACCAGCCATTAGTGAACTAGCAGCAAGGCAATGGCCTAGTGGTATTATGGCTGGACTGTTAATCCAGAAACCTGGATAACATTCTGGGGAGAGATAGTAGGAACTGCAGATGCTGGAGAATCTGAGATAACAAGGTGTAGAGCTGGATGAACACGGCAGGCCAAGCAGCATCAGAGGAGCAGGAAGGCTGA